AACAAAAAATAAATTAAAACGTGAAGACTGCGTTCAAGTATGAAACGGAATGTCGCCATTCGGTGCCGGACTTTGTGTTCACATACTTATATTTACATAAGTTCTATTCCGATAAATACAGGCATAACTTAAAACTATTTTATATATAATCTGATATTAGACTACTAGTGGATTATTAAATGGTAAAATGGAAAATTTGTTGGTTGTATCTATTTTCCATATATTACTATTAATAAGGATACATAATGCATGTTTATTATTACTATGGTAACTTTTATTTGTTATTTTACACTGACCACTGAGTTACTACCGCCAACACTCTCGGTGCTATATCACACACACACACATATATATATATATATATATATATATATATATATATATATATATATATATATATAACGTTTTACACTGAGGTCTATCTAGTACCACATTCAGGAGAGTCTGTAAAAATGCTTCAACGCAATCTTTATATATATTTTATATTTATAGACGGTATATATATATCTGTGTGACATTCATTATTCTTATCCATGAAAAATAGCATATCTTAAAACACACATATATATATATATATATATATATATATATATGTGTGTGTGTGTGTATATATATATGCACACACACACAAGTATAAGTGTATAAAAAAAATCCGCTCTTTCGCCATAACATATATTTAGACAAGAGTTGGGCACCTCCGCGTGGTGTAATGGTTAACAAGCTTGTCTCGCGAGAACAATTCCAACTGAGTAGTGAGTTCGATCCTCACTGGGCGCTCAATACTTTCGGCCTTGTGTCACATGTAAGCTACGCTTGGAAAGTCACTATATTTAGACAAGAGTGTGGATAATTATTAACTTTCCTGTGTGTGTGTGTATATATATATATATATATATATATATATGTGCACACAAAGTTTAATCAGTTACGCTGTCTTCAGAGCCCAATTCCCATTTCAGAACGAACGTTGAATTCTTCTTATGCCTCATTTATTAGTAATTTTAAGGAACATTTGCGAAAATAGAAGAATTCATGTCGACTTTAATCTCTTTGCTGTGGGGCTAAAAATGCAATGAAATCTCTTCGCCTCACTCTTATTTTTCTCCTGTTAAGCATCCGCTAAATTAAGTTTCAGTCGGCTATGAAGCAAACAACCTCTTTAATTTTCTTCTTGATCCCAAACAATTAAGTTTAAAAATATATATAGATAAATACGAGATCTAAATGAACTAATTAGAGGATGCTTGTTAAAACTTGATCGACAAGGTAACAATTCGAGCGTATTTTAGATTTTAGGAATATCCTATTAGTTTTTATGACTAAATTAGTTATATATATATATATATATACATATATACACACACGTAAAGACCAATGAAAAATATAATTCATAGTCATTTTAATAATCGTCTAAGATTCATTTCTGATTCAAAATTTAAAGAATTCAACCACGGTATTCTCTAACATTTCTTCACAAGACAAAAAAAAGGACTTAAAAAAAAAACTGTCACATACCAATTTTTTTTTTTATGTTTACAATACATCAGTACCTCCAAAGGTTAGCTAAAAATAAAAAAAAAATGGCCAAATCTTAAAAACAGTTTTTATCGTCAAAATCTTTGTTATTTTTAAGAGGAAAAATGGAAAGATCAAAGGACTTTTTTAATTATTAAAATTAAATTATATTTTTAATCTTCTTTTTAGAACCTTCGAGACTTTGGTTAATTTTTGCGTTAATGAAAATGGATGTTACTTCAAAAGGAATTTTTAGTGGATACACATATTTGAGTAGACTTTTTCATTTTTTTTGGGGGGGGAGCGTTATTTCCTTTAGCGGTCTGCGCACTTTTAAGGCGAATAGAACCTTGTTTGATCGATTCTCTGCTTAGTAGGCAAGTTTTCAAAGCACGTCGGATCAGACTGTGGTTCGTCCCGGGGAGGGGGCATATTCGAATATTGCCAGAAGGCATATTTTCTTAAGTATTTTTTCCGAGTTCGAAAACCAGTAGACGTGATAAACACTTTTTTTTTTTTTCTCTCTCTTAAAAATATCCTCAATCCTACTCACCCCATTTTACGTTCGTATCGTACTCTTCAGTCGTCACTTCCTTTTTCTTCTTCTCCTGTTACTATACCTCCTCCTCCTCCCTTTCGTTTTCATTCTCTCTTTCCTCTTTTTTTTTTCTTCTATCTCCATTCCTTCTCCTCTTTTTATTTTTCCTGCTTACCCTCCTCCTATTCTTTCTCACAATTCCCCTCTTTTACCACGCTTATTCCCTTTTACTCTCCCCCTTTTCTTTTCCCTTTTACTCTTCCCTTTTACTCTCCCCCTTTTCTTTTCCCTTTTACTCTCCGCCTTCTTTTCCCCTTTTTCTTTTCCCCTCTTTCTTTTTCCCCTTTCTTTTCCCCCCCTCTCCCCTCTTTCTTTTTCCCCCTTTCTCTCCCCTTTTTCTTTCCCCCCCCCCCTTTTTTTTCCCCTTTACTCTCCCCTTTTCTTTTCCCCCCTTTACTCTCCCCTTTTCTTTTCCCTTTCCCCTCTTTTCTTTTTCCCCTTTACTCTCCCCTCTTTTCTTTTTCCCCTTTACTCTCCCCTCTTTTCTTTTTCCCCTTTACTCTCCCCTCTTTTCTTTCTCCTTATTTTTTTATACTACTTTTTTCTTATCGTTTTCTTTTTATTATTACTCATAACTGATTCCCTTTGTTGTATTTGGTATTTTTTACTTAGTTAACCAGTTCAAATTATATCTCAGATTGCACTGGAGAACATGTGACAGCAAGTATTCTCACTGCTCCAACATACTTTAGTCTTCACATTTTGGGTGGCTTTTATTCTTTCTTGGTCTTTTAATTTTTTCTGTTTGTAAATTCTGCGGGACTATTCCAAGCATACCAATAAGATGAGGACAAGTGTCAAAGTGTATATTTATTACTATTATTCATTAAAGCGAACGTTTCTCGATAATTTTATTTATCTAGAAATGATGACTTTTAATGTAGAATACGAGTCTGTTTTATGAATTAGCAAGAAGAACTTTTCTTTCTGGGAGGGGCTGGTAATAAAAAAAAAAAAAAAAATGGGGCAGGAAAGGAAAAATCAGACAAAAACGAGTGAAGCTGAGGGACAGCTTTGTCTGTCTTTTTTTTTTTTGTTTTTTTTTTTTTTTTGTTTTTTTTTTTTTTTTTTTTTTTTTTGGCGTCTCAAGAATGTCACTTTTAAAGAATAATTAAAAACCTGATTTTGTTATCTGGATATTTGCGTTGGCGACAACCAAATTCTCTTCGACCTCTCCTCACTCATTTCCCCGGGTCGGGGGATGAAATCGCCAGCGCAAATACAAATTTCGGTTGATTTTTTCTTTCGCTTAAATCGTGCACTAAAAAAAGGCATGAATGTATCTCCTCCCTGATATAGGTTAAAATATCAGTGTAGACTGAGCTCTGTTGCCTTGATAGGCAACCAGTCCAGAAAGAGGACTCTGGGTTCAAGCATGAAGCAGGTTGTTTGGAGATACAAGGTGTATCATTTCTCTATTGTTTCTTGCAAAATGCGGTTGATTTCTACGCAAGCCTTCACTATAAGTCAGTGTTTCTCAACCGTTGCTTCCTTGTGGCTGATTTGTGGTGTCAAACGGGAATTTCGGGACCCACATAATCACAAATAGAAATTCCAAGTAACAGGAAATACATTTTATTTAGAAAAGCAAAATGTAGAAAATATAAATCCTGACGAATGAGTACGCTGCTCCTGGTGTCTACGTTAGCATAGAACTTAGGGTTACATTTACTAATCTCGAAAGTAAAATGATGGGACCTAACCGCCAATCTAGTACTGCGCTTAAATTCGTAAGGTCGAGGTACCAAAGAGGGAAATATCAGAACGATTACAATGAAAATATTTGAATAAAAAGGCAGACGGAAGTCATGTTACAGCGATGGGAAAGTAACTGAAGAGGTGACACCAGGTCTGGACCGACGACATTGCAGATTCTTCTTTGGATTTTGTTAAGAATTTCTATGATACAAAGAAGAGCCAGACCAGAACTGGCAACAATATTCAATGCACGGAGGAAGGGCGGTCATATAAATGTGCAAGATAGATTCTAGTGAGGAAAACTTCTAGTAGGATACAGTGAACAAACTTTGGTAGTAACAGACTTAGAAATTGGCGCAATAAAGCTAGAAGCGGAGATTGGGGTGATATATTTAGACATTTGGGAAAACTGAAGATAAAGGGTTTGTGCCCATGACGGCCCCTGAGCATTTATTGACATAACACTTTTTTCCCCTCCGTATGCTACTAACCAAAAAATTGGGTGTTCATATAATTTTCTGTTGAATGTGTTTATTTTCTATTTTGAAGTGTTTCAAGCAAATATGATTTTTATTCTAATTTCATATTGTGAGAATAGTGACATAAAATTGATTGAAAGATTCTAATTGAAACAGCATTTTTGTATCCTTTATCAAATACCCATTCTAGACTTCCACCAGCAGAGAATTAAAAAAATACACACACACACATATATATATATATATATATATATATGCACAAACACTTTATTTTAGGATATTACATCGAAAACCTGTCAAAATCGCTACACAATTGCAGTCGTTTTTCGATCGGCATACAACGCATCTCATCAGGGGTTATTTGGGGATATATATATATATATATTAGGACCCAAATAGTGTGAATTTAATACCCGGTTAAGGCAGTGGAGAACTTGGAGAGGGGAATTAACAGGAGATAACTAATAAGTGACATCCATTAGACATGGCACGTGGGACTAGAACAGTCTACCCCAGTGAGCGAAATAAAGGGTTCAGTTCAACATACCAATCACCTGAAGAATGCCGGAGCGTATCTATCTATCTATCTATCTATCTATCTATCTATATATATATATATATATATATATATATATATATATATATATATATATAATGTGAAGACACCTGTCGAACCTTTTGACAGCAAATCATTTTCTGATCATTCTCTTATGAGTTCGATCCTCACTGACGCGCATATATTTACCAAAGTGAATTCAGTAAGTACTTGTTTACTACTGTTGTGGCTGAAGCTTTAATGTTAGAGATCGGGGTTCAACCTCAGTAAAAAGCAGGCAGCCGTCCACCACTAGGAAAAAAAAAAATAAAATGAAAAAATTTTTAAATGATAATCTTATCTCTCAATAAATACTGAAAACTTTTACTTGAAATAAAACCTCTTCATTATCCAGTTTCCAGCCTTCTGCGTTTTGAAATCGCAAAATTTGTTTGATTTAATTTGCTATTGTTATCCTCATCTATTTGGTTGCCTATCAAAACTGAAGGAGTAAAATGATAAAAAAAATAAATAAATAAAAATAAAGTATATGATCAGGTCGAACGTATCGTTTCCAATGAAACTGTTGAGGCAGTAAACGAAATCAAAATGACAGTAATCTTTACCTCATGTGCTAACCGCTAGAACCTGAACAAATAAACTGTTTTCTGTTGCTCTAGTGTTTTTTCCCGCCTTTTATGTGTGACAAACTGTCAAATTGATACTTAACCGTTGCGAACGGGGACTACAAGATCGATTGAAAAAGAAAAAGAAAATGGCTTTACAAAAGTAGCAGAAATGTAATAAATTAGATAAATATTACAAATATATTTAATAAAACAAAACAAAAAAAACAACCTTACACGCTTTCCTACATATCGACTCTTGCGCCATGACAGATTACGAAGAAAGAAAGAAAATGGCTTCCACATATCGGAATAAACGATACTGTACACAAGATCGGGGTTAACCCCCCTGCTTTTCTTTTTATTTATTTTTAATTTTACACCGATTTTTATTTCTTTTAATATACACTGATTGATTGACTAGTTTCTTTGTTTTTTGTTGCTGGTGTTTTTCTTTTATCACGACGTTTCGGCCGCTTACCCAAGGTCTTCTTCAGATGCCATTCCAATTCATGTCGGGAATATAGAAGAGAGCGTTTCATTTGTTCTCATTTTATTAACTATACAGTGTTATTCCGAGTGGAATTTACGAACATGTTTCTTCAAATCCACGAATTGGGTGAAGAAATGTATACCCCGTACCTTTTTGCTGGGGCTGAAAAGCAACCGACGACTGTTTTCTTGGCCTAAATATAGGCAAATGGTAATGGACTGAGTTCATTTATCTAAAAGCCATTACCCCGCCATTAATATTCAAAATAAATCATAAAAGTTCATTTACAGATTTTTTTAAAAAAATTTTTCTTTTTTTTTTTTTTTAACATTAATTTGCAAAGTTTCTATATTAATAGTAGATGGATTCACCTATCGCCCGGATGACTCCCCTCACGGTCTTTTGAACAGGAGTAGAGGTTAATCTCTTGTTTCCTGTTTAGGATTTGGTTTCTGATTTCTTTTAAATTCTTATTCTCTTTCACTCTCAGTAACCCTTTGCGTCTTAGTGGCATTATCGCTTTGTTTTGGGTGAATTGAATTTTTAAAAATCTAATACATAACATTTTAAAGGTCTCATTTCAGAAAATAAGCACAAATTAATAGCAAAAGAGCATTTGGAATAAAAAAGACAAATATCTACAGGAAGATAAATCTAAAAATTCATTATGCAAAAAACAAACAAACCGCTTGGGTATACTGAAAATAATCGAAGAATTAATGGAAAGCATTTGGGACTGTAATCTCTATGGACACTTTGTCAACACATTCCTAGTTCCCATGAAAGAAAACTAAGTACACGGGAAAAAAATTGTAAAAGTTTCCTTGGCGGTCATATTCAATAAAACCTTCATAAAAAAGATTCCTTCCCAAATATACAAGTGTGTCGGCGTGTTTTAGATTTTTTTTTTTAAACTATAGTAAAAGCATATTAGTTTTAACCCCTTAAAAAATTTATCGTTTTTTTAATTTTCTGGTGAATCTTAATTGTTAATGACTAAATAAGTCAGCGGCGAGTTTTACGACAATAAAATATCCGTAGAAATTCTCCTACTGCATCGTTAAATATTTGAGCTTAACAACTTATTGCAATAACAATCATAAATTTGAATGCTGGTCGTTATTTGTAAGACGTAAGGAGGTACAAATGAAAAGATTTAAAATTGAAAACGTTTCTGTTTCACTAAAATGGACATTAGACACTTATTTCTTTCTCAATTCTCATGTCTCTCTCCTCTTTCTCTCATTTCTTTCTCCATTTTTCACTCCCCTTTCTCCATTTTCTCTCTTCTTTTCTCACTGAAACCAAGTAGTATCTATATGACATTTCTGTGTTTCCACGTGGTCAAACCGTAATGGTTCATTATCTGAGGTATTGGTAGGGCGTAACGGTCGTGCGAACTAAGAAATTATCTAACGAAGGGAGGGACAAACAAAAATATAATAGGATATTTGTATATATATATATATATATATCCATGGAATAATTACTTTTCATACAGAATGTCTGGTATGTTAATGTGTGAGTGTTTTGTGTGGAAGAAGCTTTTTTTTTTATTACTATATGCGTTATTGCCATAAAACAAATAATTTATATATATATATATATATTTATATATATATATATATATATATATATATTAATTGAGGCCAGTGGTAAGGTAAGCGTCTTCCCCTGCTTCAAATTCATTTGGCTTATTGACATAGCTTTCAGTAAAAATATAATTATTTTTTATGGGAAAATTAATATTTACAGCAGCCAATGAACGACAACTTTTGTCCATAAGGACATGTCCGCCTCATACTTTAAGAAGATTATTATTAGACCTTTAAAATCTAATGTCTGTTTTATAACTTAACTTTTCCCTACGAGTGACGAGTACCTAAACTAGAAATGAATCTCTTGAGCACTCGCCTAGAAGATTCATTGTATGTGTGTTTTCTAAAATTTTACACGATTTGATTAGGATAATTGGAAGTGATATAGAAGTTTCCATCTATTCAAATATTTTTGTTTTACATAAAAAGAATTCTTATAAAATTGGTTAACTACTTAGATAGCTTCTCGTCTAGCGTTAACTTTTATAGCTCCTGCATAACTATACACACACACGTAGATGAATATATAGACAGTATAACTTCATTCAAATATGTTACATTGAATAATTGTCAATAAAAAAAAAGTACAGGACAATAAGCTTGTCTTTGTAATTCGCCTCAGAAGAGATCGAAAGTACTTGGGTAACAAAAAAACTTCCTTGAATTTCATCTTATCAAGAAAGTGGTTAGAGAACTAGAAAGGCTTATTATAAAAATAAATAGACATATTATGTCTGTTATTCAATGAAACACACACACAATATTAGCTCCCGGAGAAAAAAATGATTCGGTCAAGCACTGTGGGGAGAAAGCGTGAATTTAAAAACAGTGATTCTCTCGGTCACTGGCGTGTTTATGAAAAAACAAAATACGCATTTTCTCTCTACCGGGTGCCGATAGCCTAGGGGCTATATATATATATATATATATATATATATATATATATATATATATATATATATATATAAAGCATCGAAACAGGTGGCTTGCAATCCGAATATTATTGGTAATTAATTTATTGTTGTTTACCATAGCATTTTGTTATTAACCAGAACCATTTTAATAATAAATTTCTGGAGTGTTGATTAATTGCTTTGTCATAATTCATATTGTAAGTAACCATATAGTGACTTTATTTCCACCCTGTGTGTGTATATATATATATATATATATATATATATATAAACTGTATAGTGACTTTTGGAAATGTAAAATGATTTTATTGCCACACTGTGCCACACACACACTTCTAACAAAACTAATACATCATAAATATAAGTCGCAGTTTAAACATGCACAGAATCTCCGACAGCACGCCCAACTTAAATTCGATACACGCGCATATACACATACGTCCCATATTTTCTAGCTACCGTCTTCAGGAATTAGATATACACATGCGTCACAGAATTCGATTTACGCAAACACCGTTCATATTACCCTTATTCCAAAACATCCTGATGAAGCTATAGCGAAACATGCCAAATTTGTAAAGGTTTTCGTATTTGTTCCTTATTTATTCATATATTAGGTTTGCATCTATTAATCGGCCATTGACTACTTTTGTCGATTAATCGTTTCTTTTTTTTTTTTAAATAATCATTTATCCTTGTTGCCAGAAATGCTGTCTCTCGTTTAACAATTATCAGTTTCCATAGAAAAAGAATGAATTTAAATAATATTGATATTCATGTATCCACCCTGACTGCTTAAAACGACCCGCTCGCTGACTATTTTCATCCGTTTATTTTTCTATTAACTAGTGAAAATTGCTTATTATCACTTGATAATCGCTGCAAGTTTTATATAAATGTTATATTTCTTCATGGAATAGGCGGTAGTGACTTTCCACAGGTTCCTTTTCGTTAAAAATTTCCTAGTCACTCATATATTCTGTCCATGGTATTCTCAGTATCCTTTAGTAGAACCCTCTCTCTTTTTGCCTCAGGTCTTCTCTTCATCTGTAAGGAATTATTTTAGTGTTCACTGCCATAGAGGAGGACTGATGTTACGTAACAGTTTAACGCGGTTGTCTTTGTAAAGTAATTCTGTTTGCTTTGCTAAACATTTGAAAGGCGTTTTTTGTTATTCCACTGCATTTCCGGATTTCGGAGTCACATTTTCCGTAAACGACAGCTACTTTGAAATCATTTAACCTTTTGCCACTTTTTTGTAATTATTTACATAGATATATTTTCTGTTCGCCTGGTGACCTTTGATTATTTTTCTCTTTGCAGCTGGACGCTAAGAAGAGTCCCTTGGCGTTGTTAGCACAGACATGCAGCAGTATTGGCAAAGACACAACTCCGCCATCCAAACAGATTATTCCGCCAATTGAGAAGAAGGACCCTAACAACAGCAGCTCGTCGGAGGGCAAAGACAAATCCTCCAAAGAGATGCACCACTCAGACAAGTCTCATTCAAACGATATGAAACGTAACACGGACAGTCACGATAAGAAAGAATCCGGACGGGAGTCAAATAAACCTGGCTTCCGTACCGTTCCTCCAAAGGAGATTCCACCACTCGTACCTATCAACACTTCGACTACTGACAGATCCAACGTTTCTCCCTCGACAGCAGCTGAAAACCACTCGAGTAATTCTCACAAGTCTTCCTCTTCCTCTTCGTCGTCGTCGTCTTCGTCTTCATCGTCCTCCGATGTCTGTTCGGTTTCCCGACCCATGTCGGCTAACTGCCCCAGCGGCCAGCAAACCACTTCCGGTCGTATGAGTCTGGGTAGTGTGTCCGATTTGAGTCACCACGACTCTACAGGAATAACAAAAACAACCCTGTCGCAGCACACGGCATCGTTATTAACACATTCCTCTCTGGTCGGCGGTGGTCTCAAGTCTACTAGCCACCCTTCACTCCTGTCTACTTTGCCGACAGCTTCACTGGCTAGCTATGGATGCTTACCTCTAGTGGGTCATGGGATCGCTGTGGACGCGGCCGGCAACAGCCCTGTCTACCCGTCGCCCCTGGCCGCTCATGCAGGTCTTAGTCTTGCCTCGGCTGCCGCCGCCGCCGTCGCCAACTCTTCACCATTAAAACTTGGTGCTCAGCCAGCTGCCGTCTCGCCCTACTTTGCTTACGCACGCGTTCGAACCCCGACCGGTGCAACAACGTTGGTTCCCGTCTGCCGCGATCCCTACTGCAGTAACTGCCAGATGACCCTTCAGAACTCACACCTATCCTCTACGTGCACGTCACCCGGATGTACCCAGTGTGCTCACGAAAAGTCCCTCTTACAGTCCGGCAGTCTTGGCCTATCGTCGGCCACTGGTCTACCTATGTTGTCGTCCGTTTCCACATTACCCACCCCGGGTGGCACCATCACCGCCAGTCCGTCCCTGGGGTTCGGTACTTCTTTCTACCCTCATTCAATGCTCGGCACCCAGTTGCCCTATATTTGCTCATGGGTGGCAGGAAATGATTACTGTGGTAAACGATTCACATCATCCGAAGAACTTTTGCAGCATCTGAGGACACACACTACAGCCAACGACGCAGCTACGATAGCAGCTAGTTACAACCTTTCTTTCCCACCGGTCTCTTTGCCGAGTTGTCACGGACAATATACAGCCACAGGTTCCCTGAGCCCCAATTCTCTCAGAAGAACCTACCCGACAAGTATCAGCCCCGTCAGTGGTTTACTCGGTGCAGGTCGTTACCATCCTTATAAAACTCAGTTTACTAGCGTCCCGACGGGAGTGTCAGGAGGTCTACCTCTTACAAGCATTGGGGGAACGTATCTGTCCCCTTATTCTACTTTATATGGACATCGTCTAGGGGCTGCTGCGGTCCCCTGACTGTACATGGATAGTAAATAGTTTTTTCTTTTTTTTTTTTTTTTTGTTTTTTTTTTTTTTTTTTTTAAAATAAAGTGAAAAACTAGTAAAAAATTAAAGACATCTTCCTTCTTACGCTTTTTAACTGAAACATTTTTAACAGCAGAAAAATACAAAACTCATTCAAGGAAAGAGAATTTGAAAGAAGGAAAAAAAAATATCTATAATGAAAGGAATGAAAAAGAGAAATCTAATACGTGTTAAAATCTTAAAGATTGTTTTATATATATATATATATATATATATATATATATATATATAGCCCCAGATTCGATATTCACGAATAAAATCAAGGCTGATGACGTCACATGCTAGGACGGCGGGCCATGTTTTTTGCTCTCCATGATTGGAAAATAAAAAGCAAGAGTCATCCTTACCATTCTAACTTTCAAAACGAAGTAACGGGGACTAAAATAAAATAAAGAATGCACAAACTGAAATCACAAAGTATAGACAATTATTTACATGTGTTCAGGAGAAAATGCAAAAAAAAAAACCCCTGTTCACGACTTTGATCTGAGGTTTAAAAAAAATGATTAAAAAGATATTTGTAAACTGTATGTAACTGCTTTTTAAAGAAAACAAAATGTAAGTTTAATTCTTATTTTGTACCCTTCTACAATTTGCTTCACGACTATTTTTTATCCCCTTCTCGTTTGAATAATTCTCTTACACACACATAACACAATACTAAGCCCAACCATTCAGAACTTTTCTTGTGGCTAAACGAAAAACAAATGCTCTAATAAGCAAACATTCGTCGATTATACAATTCTCAAAGATGTTTTGTCCTTTTCTTTTTCCATTTTTTTTTTTTTAAAGTATGATTTCATTTTTATTTTTTTTTTTAATTTTCGATTCTTCTTCTGTTCCAAGATTTTTCCCTCCAACTGTTTCTAACCATTTCTCCTCTTACACTTTCACATACAAAGATAAATACATTACACACACACACACACACACATCTAATACTTAAGAGTTTTTATTGCCTGAGGCAGACATGTCTTTAATTTCGTTTGCTGTTATTTTTTTTTTTTTTTTTTAATAAATAAAACAAATCTCTGGGTAAAACATAAAAGAAGGAAAAAAAAAGGAAAGTGTCTACAATATTGTATATATATATCCATGTAGGCGCTTATTTTCCAATGTCTATGTATATATAAGCGTGTACATATGGTTTGTGATTATCTCTATCTTATCTTTCTACCCATGGGTAACAACCACTAGAAATAATAGCAACACAACTCGCCTTTTCTTTTCTCCTCAATTTAACAAGTCAATGAATTAACAAAAAAGAAACACCTTTAGTCACCCAATCCTTAAACAAATACACTTTACAAAATATATCAACATTCAGAAAACAAAGTTCCTATTCAAACATTTCTTTTTGTGTGTAGAATGTGAGAATGACCTCCAGGTTTCAGCAATTTTAAGTGACCAGAAAAAAAAATAATGGAAGAAAAGTCGTAAGGTATGCTTCGTTAGGGTAGAAAGAAACAGTAACATTTAATTTAAATTAGGTAGCGTTTTTAAAAAAAATATTTTAACTTGCTTAATATAAGTTACATATATTTAATTCATCGTAATGAAATAAGTTTTTCTTTTAAGTTACATCAAAATATTACTTATTTTAAACAAAAGCAATATTTCTTCCTATGGATTTTCAAGTTTCTAGTGACTGTCAAGGCCTAGCTTACCTGTGGCACAAAGCCGAAAATATGGAGCGCCAATTGCGAATCGAACTCACTACTCAGTCGTAATCGATCTAGTGAAAAGAGCTTGTTAGCTATTACACCACGTCGAAATACCTTTTCGGTGCATTTAAATCTGTAGTTTGTAATATTTTATTCTCTGGTGCAACTGATCAGATATTAATAAGGGCTGGTGTCCCCTATGCTAGAAATAATGTTGGCCATAATTCAGCTCCATTTTTACAAGAGTAAATATCACGTGCGTTCGCATTATAGTAGCATCATTCACCAGAAGTTCAGCTTTGCCCATAGCAGACGAGCGAAAGTTATCAACTCAGACGATAGAATCTCCGGGACTTTGACTTGCTGTTTTTTTTTTTTTGTCTGAACATATTGCAATTGTAGCTAAATGTTTAAAATGTAGTGTTCCTACTGGTTGCGTATGGTCGCTTAGCCGCCTCCGGTTCGCTATAAAGCTTGTTCAAGGGATCGAATTTTCTTTTCGAGACCTAAATACGTATATATATATAAAAAAAAAGATATAGTAAAATAGGTAAAAAGATAAACAAATGCGTATATAAAATTTTGTGATTTATCATAATCGGAATATAAAATACTTAAATAATTTTACTGTCCCTATAAAAATTATAACAATCCGAATAAGGCTCATTAAACTTTTACGGGGTCGTTAATGTTCACATTAAGAATCACAGATTTAAATAGTCAGATAACGACCGGAAACTCTGAGGCCAAGATTATTATTATTATTTTTTTTTTTAAGAGTATTTCTTTGCCTCATATGAATATTTATATCTAAAACATAATTAATTTTGGATGAGTCCTATAAACCTTTAAATATTTTTCCCAGTTTAGGATTTTAAAAAAATTAATGTACAAAAAGTGTAACGATCCAGTTTTGTTAGATTTTCCCTAACGCTATAATTATTCTATGAAGATTAAGAAAACGATGTTTCGTTGAAACAAAAAACTACGGTAAAGTGGGATATTTCAGACCAACACTGGGGCTATCGATTTGCAGACGACACAAGACGGAACTGCATTAAAATGTCCCACTTCTTTATTAAACCTGCGTAACTCACATGGGGTGTTTTCTTACCCTCCCACCAATTTTTAAAGTACTCGTGTTCCTTTTATTCCTACTACTACTCTCCTAACTAAGTGATGGTGTGCAACACCCCGAGTGGCGCAGTTGTAGCTCAGTTTTCTAAGACGTCATGGGCTTATCCATTTTCGGAAATCCGAGGTAACTAACGCAAAGTAAATCAATTGCTTCCACCCCTTTGACTTTTGGAAACATTTTCTCCTTTGTACATCAGGCACACATAGTTCGAGTAACAACTGTTAAGCTTTGAGGGTATCGAAAAATTACTCTAATCTTAACCAGTTAGATATATAGATTTCCTGAGAGACTAAATAGTTTATTCGTTCTAATAAAAGAGCAGAGTTCTTAAGCAAAGACGAAAGGGCATACTGCGTGTGAGAGATACTAAGTATTCTTTTTATCTGTACGTAAATATAAGAGTACTCTGATGACATTTTTAATAGCGTTTCAGATCATCTACTCTTGTCTGTCTTTGCTTCAGGTGTTGACACGAGAATCCTGTTAACATGAAAGCCCACTACCATGTGTTAGTCATCAACTAGGGCAAAGCAATTAGTTAATATCTTGAAACATCCATCACAAAACGTCTTCTCAGTCACCAAGAAATTACTCACGAATAAATGATTAAAATGTTCGGGGATTCCCTTCCTTCTAACATTATATATGTCTGAAAGAAATAGTATGTCCTCACTGAAGACTGCATTTAAAAAGGAGGGCCAAGATACTCCCTGGTATATTTGAAAATTCCATCGGCACCTCGAGGCGGTGTAATGGTTAGCAAGCTTGTCTCGCTAGAACACTTACGAGTTAGTAGTGAGTTCGATCCTCACTAGGTGCCTTTTACTTTCGGCCCTGTGCCACATCTAAGCTACGTTTTGAAACTCACTATTTGAAAATTCCAGCTTCAATACACAAATTCACGCATATACCTTTGTGCAAATTAACAGGAACAAAACGAATAATTCCGTTATATTTTTTTCATATTTTTCAATGAAACATGGCCTAGTGAACATATGAGTACTTCGTAGGTCCATTCCACGCAGTCCTTCCTTGAAAAGTGATCACAGATTCTCGATTGGATTTAAATCAGAAGAGTTTCCGGGCCAATCTATAGCACTTTGATTTGCTCACTGGTAAGGCTTTCTAGTGTGTTCGTGCAGTGTTAGAATTTTTGTATGTTTCTTTGGAGTAACGCCCATCGCAGACAATGGCCGTAGGACAACTAATCGACAGTCGAGACAACAGTCTCTGGGCGTGATGAAAATCGGATTCAATCACGTACGACGCAGTATTTTTTAAGGCCAAACAATTTTCACCATATACCCGAAAGTAGATTCATATTACCACACACCACTGCAAATGACCTAATCTGAGGAAAAATAGAAATCGATTACACCCTGTCACTCCAGTGGGTCTGAAACTGACCATATGGTGAAAGAAAGGAAACTAAAGTGGTTGTTTCAATTAATTTACACAAGGGTGTATATATGACAAACCTCGGCTGTAGTGGTAGTTTCCCTGACGGAAAAAGGGAATGCTGGTTCGATTCCTGCGAATATTTTTTTTGTCAGTAAGGTTTTCTGGATCTCTTTTCTGGTTGACATTAATTTCATTGTTTAAAATAACAATGATGTGTAGCATAACAAACATGTGTAGCCATTAAAAGAAACGGTTAGAGTAATGATAAAAATCGTTTGAAGTTTTGCTATATTTATTGATTAAAAGGATAGAGCGTTTCTAAATGGCCTGACGATGGTATTTAAGCATGAAACAGACTGTTGCCTCTGAGTGTTGACTTCAAGGTCCACTTATATACATACTGTCTCGGCATGGAGATAATAAAAGTATAGATTAAAATCATCTGGACTTGATTAAAAAAATATAACCTCACCTCACTAAAATATGGGGAGGGTACTTTGATGGATCTCAATAAAAAGAAAAAAAATCTTATCTACTTACACAGATATTGTCAGGAACCTAAGATAGTTCACTGAAGTTAGGTTAAGCCAGCCATGTGGTGTAACAATATATATATATATATAAATAAGATGAAATATATCAATGTCTAAGGAACTCAAAAAAAGAAACATGCTTTAAGAATATACATTGTTAAAACTGTTAAAAATTAATTCCATTAAAATCACTGA